ATCATCCAGTTAATTTTGCCATTTCCTGTGAGGCAAAGGACAGGGTGGGTCCAAATCTTCAAGAATTCTGGGAAATTAGGCCTGGTAACCAGAAGCTCCAAGGCGGGACAGTAGAGGTCGGAAGGGCAATTAGAAATGGCCACAGGCTCTGAGGTTATGCAGAAATAGTACCCCTTTGTAAAGAAGAGAGGCACAGGTAGGCTTACATTTGGAATGTGGGGACGAATCAAGGAATTTATCTTGAGGGAAGAGAGAGCTGGAAGGGTTAGTGGGGAATGGGCTTGTTACAAAGCCCTTTATGATGCTCTCTGAGCAGCTGTTCTAAAGGGATTCTACCACCTAAGTTAGAGGAATTTCCATAAGAAAACACTGAGTGAGAAAGGAAAGATGAAGAGATGGGGGTGTAACCAACACCACCCCCCAAATTCATATGGTTGCTCACAAGGTCCCCAGCAGGGTTGAGCCCCGTTGCTCATAGCAGTAACTTTCCTGTCCTGATTCCCTATTCTTCCCCAGTGTTGCCCGGGATCACCTGCCAAATAACTACTTGCACCCAAACCTTGGTCTCAGAGTCAGCTACTGAGTGAATCCAAAGACCAAAGACCAAAGACCACAGACAGACCCTAAGACTCCCACACAACCCTAAGGAACAAGGCAGGAGGCCCTCAGAGACAACCATGGCTGCATATCTGGTAAATCTCACTCTGTATGATGATTGCATTGATGTTATGACCTGATCTACGGAAATCTGGCCTTTTGGCGATTGTGATGTTCTTCCAGTAAGTCAGTAGCTTCTGGAAACCAGAGGTTGGCGGGGGTTCCCTGACACCATCACCACAAGCTTCTTAGCAGATGGAATTTTGCAGTAAAAGCCTGTCTTGAACCAAGTCTACCAGATGTGTGAACATTTATCAACAGCACAGAATAATCATATTTCCTGTTCTTCAGTTGTGGGGAAGCCCCTCTCTCTGTCCTCAGGCCTTTACTTAGGGCCTCGCATGAAGTATCTTTTCATTTCCAAAATAGATGCAACGAAACAGCAGAGCCGGCTCACCCTGTCTATCAGGTGATGTGGCGGTCATTGGACCGATGGGGTTTTTAGACCTCATGCTCTGTTTCAAGGAGTTTACCCTGCTGGGACTGATGGGTATTTTTATCCTGTAGGTCTGAGGATGGGGCCTCTATGGTATTTCCAGCCAACCACACACATAACCACATATCCCAAGTACCTACACACTTCACCATTGGAAGATGCTCAACAAACCCTCTGAAGTAGATTTTGAAAACATTTGAAGTATTTATGTAGCTACCTTCAGAACTTGCATTCCTGTTTAGGGTATTTTCAAATGCTAACTGCTCCTAGAGAAGAGATTAAAGTTAATTCACACACACACACACACACACACCCCTGCTTCCATAAAGTATTTATCTACTATATTATTTTTAATGGAGGAACTGGGGATTGAACCCAGGACCTCATGCATGCTACGCATGTGGTCTACCACTGACCTATACTACCCCCTCCATAAAGTATTGAAATGAACATACAATGTAATAATAGCTAACATTTACTGAGATCTACTATGTGACAGACACTTAAAAGGAACTCATCTTTAACACTTTAACGCCTCAATAAGGTGGGTTCTGCGACTGTTGCCGTTTTGCAGGTGAGGAAACAGATGGAGGGATGCTAACTCCCTCGCCCAAGTCCCACAGGTTGTAAGTTGCAAATTAGGGGTTCAGCCTCAGGCAGTCTTGCTCTAGAAGCCTGCTCCTTAACCATCACACTCGACAGCCCCTAACAGGGGCCAGTGCCGTTAATTTCGAGAAATTCAGAAATATGACATTCGTAATGTTAGAAAATCTGAGAATCTGACAGAGAAAGATGACAGTATCACTACAAGTGAGCAGTCAGTAGCGGTCCAAGAGTGTGCTGGGAGGCACGCACCCGGCACCCGCAGCGCTAGTGGGCGTGGCCCGAGGCCCCCACCGGCCAGGACTCCGCCCCGCAGCTGGTGGGCGGGCCCAGACTCTCTTCTCCAGGATTTGGAACAGGACCAAGATGCCAGCTTTACTCTCACCCGTCTCTTGAAAATAGAGTTGCTGTGGGAGTTTCAGCCCACTTCATCGACTGGAAAGACGAGGAAGCTGGTGTGCAGAGCAAGAGCCTCAAAGAACATTTAGAATAGAGTACAACAATGGCTACGGGTCCTGAGACCCCACAGTGTCTCTGATCTGGACCTTCAGACACACACAGTCCCTCTTTTTGGCTCAAGATACTGCAACCCAGAGTTCTAATGGATACCTCCATTACATGTTTTCAAGCCAAAAAAGAAAAGAAAAGAAAAAAAATCATACAGTCACTGGGAAGATTCACCAGCAGTAGGAGAGAAGGGGCCAAAAGCCGAGAGAAAGGAGTTTATAATAATGATCCAGGTAGCAGAAACAATGGTGCAGAGAGATAATGGAAACAGAAAAGAGGGGCACATGAACATCCTGCTTCCTTCCCCAAGTTCTATTACATCTTCCCGGTGGCCAGGTCATTTGATAAGGATAGGGTTTCTCCTCTCCCATAAAGGACTGATATCCTCCCACAAACATGTTGCCCGTGTTTAGAATCAATTATTGAAGGATTTATTTAAATTTTTTTCCCGACTTTTTATTATGGAAACTTTCATAGTAAACTGGAATTTTGTGGATACCTGAAGCCCCACAAGCCCGGCTCTGACTCACGTCACTGGCTTTTTGCTAACACTCCTTTTCTCTCATATCTAGCCATGTCCATCCTTCTGTCCGTCCATTAATCCATCTTATCGTTGGTGCCGTTCAAAGTAAAATGCAGACGACAGTGCATTTCCCCCTAAATAATTTGGTGGCAGCATCATCAGAGTTCAAAACTTGTTTAGTTTTCTTTTAATGTAAAATTTTAATACAGTGAAACACATCTTAAATGTACTTCCACTGAGTCTTGGCATACACTTGTATAACCTCAACACTTCTCAAGATGTAGAATGCTACCTACCATCATTCCAGAACACGTGCTCACACCCCTTTCCCAGCCCATCCCCGCCACCCACTCCTTCACGGCCACTCCAATCTACTGTTTTCCACCCTGGGTAGTTTGGGCTGGCCTGTGTTCAACTCCCCCTGAGGCACCGCAGTGCATTCCAAGCTGAGGTCCGCAGGTCAATCTAAGGGATAAAATGCGGCCCATCTGCGTTCCTCCCCAGCCCAGGAGTGGCCCACGCTCTGCCCTTTCAGCGCTGGGGATAAGCAAGCATTGCACTCATCCTAACCCTCTGTGAAGCTGACCGTTTGAAAAGTCCTCCATTCAAGACTAAAGAAAAGAAATTAAAAGCCACACAGCTTTTCATAAAATTAATATGCAAATCTAAATGTTTAAAAAGTAACTGTTAACAAAAACTGGACTGGCTAGCAAACCTGGAAAGTTGTTTTAAAAAGAAAGCCAAAAGCTTACTGTATATATGCCCATGTAATTATGCACTTCATCTCTTTATACTGCTAAAGGCAGACAGTGTAGTAGGAGGATTAAAAAGAAAAGAATTTAGAAGAACTTGGGCCTGAATCACAAAATAGGTTAAGATGTCTATGTTTTTAAAGATGCAGAACCAGCACTCTAACAAATTATCTTCCTGTTCAATATATAAATGACATTTGAATAGTTCTTTGTGTTACCCATGGCCAGCCTGGTTATCCCCTGTGTAAGCCCTCAGACAACTCCTGGTTACACTGGAAACCACGCATAAACAGGGTCTTGCTTCTCCCGCCCCCCACCTAGTATTAAGGGAAGTTTAGCGTGCGTGCATGTGTGTGTTTGGGGGAGGTTGCAAGAAGCTTGTTATGTGGAAGGCCATGTCATTAGAGACCCGGTCCCTGCAGCAGAGAGGGTCCTGGGTGCTCAGCCCCGTCTGTCCTGCCCCTGCACAGGCTTCAGAAATGCTCCAGAGCCCAGTGGGGCCTACGCTCAGCTGCGGAGACCTTCCTCTGAGCAACTCCAACCACAACCATGGGAGGGGCTCGGGGAACAGGCTCTAGTCCAGGTTCCTGCTGCCCCTTGACTCACCTTCAGGACTGGAGGGGCCACAAAGGCACAGGAGACACCTCCCCCAACCTCCACCATCCTGTTTCACACTGGATGGAAAATGCCCCACTTTTTCCCCTCCCCGCAGTGCCCTCCCCCACCTCACCTGACTTGGATACCAAGGAACAAGTGAACTCCAGAGAGGGAGACAGCCGAGTCCATCCAAAGCCCAAGAGCAGTTTAACAAAGGTGGAAAACAGGACCTGAACCCGCTAACCTACAGGGAAGGCCAGGACTACTAAATGGGAACTATTATTATTTTTTTTGGCAGGGGGAGGTAATTAAGTTTGTTTATTTATTTATTTGATGGCAGTACTGGGGATTGAACCCAGAACTTTGAACATGCTAGGCATGTACTCTACCTCTGAGCTATACCCTCACCCCTCTAACTGGGAATTTAATACAGGTATCAGAGAACGTCTCACGTGTGAAAGGATGTGGTAGCAATGAGGGCTCATGGTGTTCCCGGGAGGAGGTCTCAGAGCCACTCTGTGATGTAGGAGGCGGGCCTGGCCAGACAGGATCGGAGGGAGACACCTTCTGCTGTCCTGGCGGAGAGGGAGAGGGCTGCAGGTGGGAAACTTCAAAGAAATGTTACTTCTCAATATGCACAAGTGACAGGTCTCAATCCAGCAAGCACTAAACACACAAATCAGGAAAATCTCCGACTTGATATTTAATTTCAGGGTTTAAAAAAACCCTTTCCCTTTACTCACCCTATAGGGCTCCTATCCTATTTTATTTTTCTTCATAGTATTTCATCACCACCTGCAATTTTAAATCTCTATTTGGTTACTGGTTTCCCATCACCGACCAACCAACCAACCAACCACATCAACCAACCACACACACTAAGTAAATCAAAGTAATTATTCCATGTCATATCGACCACACTGAATACAGTATTATAAATTGTGCTTTAATTTCTGCAATCAGATATGATGCAGTGTGATACAAGTATAAGTTTCATTGTACATCCAGAAAGTAAAAAGCACATTTATACAGATTCAGCCCAACAGCTTATTCCCTAAAAAGTTTTGTATGTAATTAAAGCTAATTTATCTTCAGTGTAAAAACTTGGAGGTATAAACAAACTCAAGACACTATATACAGCAAATTAATGTACATTTCCAAACGTGCACAGTGCAGCAGTTTAAACAAAGTAAATGGTCTCATTTCAGCTTTTATTGTTAAGCATAATCCACATCTCAATCTTGAATAAAAATGTCACAATATATAAACCCACTGAGAATCCTGTACACAAATACAAGTTTACAGAAATCTGATTTCAAATATAAATACATAAATGGTCATGACCTAACATGTTACAACAGCTTATTTTTCTATTGTAATTAAAAAAAAAACCATAGAAAAATATTTCAATACACATTCAACTGCTATGACAGGGGCCATGACCTTGTGCCTTTAAACCATACTTTATGGAGTGTAAAGCATCACACCTGGCATTTTTGGAATGAAAATTACTAAGATCTTAAAGACTGAAGAGGCTACTGTATCAGTATTCCCGTTATAATATGGTAACAAAACTAGTCAGCTCCATAGTGTGTCTGGGAAGCAGTAGGGCAGAGGAGTGGAGGTTAGTGCCAGTTTAAGAAGGCCCGCAGGACGTACGTGAAGGTAGCCAATAACTAGGGTAAATCAAAAATCCCTACTGCGAGCCTAACACTGACCTTACTGGTGAGACTCTTAAGGCAACCAAGACTGGGCCTGTGTTTGGCCCCAGATGCATGAGCCCTGCCCTCCCTCAACCTCCATCGTCCTAACAGACCAACAGGGCCCACGGAACGACATGGCGTGGGAGGACGGTAAAGCCATCTCCTGTGTGTACAAGATGATTCAGTGCAAACTGAGAAACTCCTCTCTCAATAGTTTCAAAACTCCTTATTGCCCTTGAGCAACTGAAAGTTTTTCTAAACAGGTAATAATCAAATTGGGATCGATACTGGAGAGCAAATGTATATAAAAGGCAAACATTCGATAGGAAACATTCTAATGTGAGATAATTTCCCCCCTTCCTTTTGTGGAATTGAACAGGGTTCCATGGAGAATGAAAAAAACTGGTCCTTACAAAGTGTTCTTTCCTGCATTTAAAAAATATATATCATCTAGACAGCAGATCCAAGAAGGTTACCAGGCAGAGTCAAGTTTCTTCTATGGCTTTTAAATCGCTGAGGTACTACGTGATAACCATCACTTCTGACATTTATGCTTGACTGCTTCCCTGTGAAAGTCACATTCAACAGTGATCCTACTCATCAGTCTGTAAGGTGACAGGGACCTGGGGAACCCGGCTGAGGGCTGCTGCAGAGGACTGTGGTCACAAGCGCCCCGAAGCCCGGGTGTGCTGTTAGAAAAAGGCAAAGTGATTGCTTTCAGATGCTGAGCGCCTCTGGAAGAACAGAAGCTCCTCTGGGCAAACCAAAGAGACTCCCCCAGTCTAACCAACAGGTTTAGCAGCAAGATCCTGGGTCGACGTGCACCAAGGCGGGAAGTAGGGGAGCAGGGAGAGTGGTGGCGAGTGGTACGAGCAGACAGGGAGACCTGGAGCTGTCAGCCCACAAGAAAGGGCGGGGCCCCCCCCCACCCTGTGAGGTGACACAGTCCACACAGGAGGGAGGATGGTCTGAAACATCAGGATGGGTGACATGCGTGGCAAGAGAACAAAGAGAGGAAAAAAGCTACGGTTTGGAAATGAAGGCCACACATCTTAATACCTCTATTTGAATCTTTTAAGTCGCCATAAACACATCATGTAAAGCTGAGCTTGCTCCCAACTGAGACGCGACAGAGACACTTGCATTTCCCCACGGCTGGATAAATCACCTTGGCACAAAAGATCTGAAGATGGTGGAGTCCAGGCACGTCTTACCAAAGCCCTTTCTAAGTAGTAAACCAGCTACTGCAGGGTATGCAGCAGACGTCAGCCACAGTTCTACTCTGGGCCAAGCAGTAACTCCTTTTAATGAGTAATACTAGAGATAAGGTTTTAATTGCATAGTCTTTCAGAACCAGGGGAAAAAATGAGAACCAGCTCTCTTCCTAAAGACCAGGTTCCCCCTGGGCAAGGGTTATGCCCCTCTCCCCAGCAGTCAGCCTCAGCGCCACACACCCATCCCGAGGGCAGGTGTGTCAGACTCCTGTCCCAGCCTGCGACACTCCTCTCTCACAAACACTGAACAGATAGGTCACACATCCCCCAGATCCACAAACTCATCTTCTCGTCTGGCCAAATCCTCTTCATCTCCCAAGGCTTTCCAACCACTGGTGGGCAGGACCGGCTTGGAGGAATGGCGCTGCAGCAAAGCGAAAGGGAACAAGGAGGACAGGCGGACGGAGTTCCTCAGCAGGGAGGTGGCCTCTGCCTGGAGGGCCTCCTGGCTGTGGTGTTTCTCCTCGATCTTCTCCTGCAAGCACTGGACTTCCTCCATCATCTCCAAGAGCTTGTTCGTGGTGGCCACCCTGCCGCCACCCAGGATTTGGGCCTCTGGAATCCAGCGCAAGTAGCGCTGGGCCCAGACTTTGATTTCTGGCCCCTCGATGTGCGGCAGCAACAGACCGTGGTAGCTGGCGGGCTTGCTGTGCCAGCTGTCGTAGAACTCGCGGAAGCTGTCCTGCAGCTCCTCAGAAGAATTAATTAGTTTGCTAATCCTCTTGCCCAGAAGGTTTTTAATTAAATGATCTGTTTCCTCCCTGAAGAATCCTCTTTTGGGAGATGACTTGGATTGGGTGAGCGGCAAAGAAAGCTGTCGTTGATGCTTTCAGAGAAAACACAACAAAAAAATCTCTGGTTAGCCTGAGAGCAGGTACAGTTGTTCTCATCTGTACTCCCCACCCCAAAACCAAAAAAAAAAAAAAACCCCCAAAATCCTGCTTTAACAAGAGTCACGAGACATCAGAATTGCCACGTGAATGCAAATTCATTACGAGGCTACACAGAGAAGGCAGCGGGGTGGGTGGTGGTGGTGAGGGAGGGATTCCTGTTTATTCCACGATGCAAATGTCAGAAACAAACCGGGTTTATAAGCACCTGGGTGAAACCAGGCACAGGTGGAGCTGTGCAGAAAGGCACGCTGTGGCACTGAGAGGGAGGTTTTAAATCTCTCCTCTCCATTGTAGTGGCACCACAGGGCACAAGTCCTTGTGAAGAATGGGCTTAAGTTAAGACAGGCTGATGATAATTTCGGGGGTGACTTGTGGGGAGGAGGCCCAAATGAATATTTCTGAAGGGAGCAAGATGTTTCTTCTTTGAGAACTTAAAGGTATTCACTTTCACAATATTCTGAACACCTAATACGAAGCAGTGTCGGCGACCTGGAGAGCCTGTCACTCTGTCGAAATACCTTGTAGGTGATCAGGCATCCAGAGGGAGGTCAAGCCAAAGTCAAAGAGAGAGCTGCAGGATGGGGGTCAGGGTGGCCCTTCTCCCAGGGATGCAGGTGAGTCGGGCAGGGCAGGGCACCTGACAGCCACGGAGCGTTTGCTGCCAGCCAGGTCCTGTGTTCAGTGCTTACGTGCATCCACTGACCCGAGTCTCAGAGTCACTGTTATTGCCCCATTTCACAACTGAGGAACTGAGGCACGGCAGTTAAATAGTCACAAAGGCCCCAGCTACCGAGTACGAGACATGGTTTTACATGCAGACAGTCTGGTTGCAGAGCCTGGACTCTCAACACAACTCTCCTTGTCTTGGAAGCCCCTTCTCTCCAGCCCCAAGTGAATGCACGTCCAAGATGGGCCAGGTGGGACCAGCACTGCATGCCCGGGGCCGGGTCAAGGCAGGGCTGAGCAAACCCCAGGGTCTTGAGCAGTCACTCCCAGGGCAGCCATGGCTCTTCAGTCTCCACAGAACTTCTCCAAGGAGCCGGTCCCCTCGATAAGAGGCCCCAGACTTCACACCTGGTGTCCTCACCCCGAGGCTTCGAAGTTCCCTGCTGTGGCTGGTATGACATGATGCCCTTCAGCTCCAATCCCTCCCACCGCCAGCTGCTGGCGCTCAGGCCAGCCGCTCCTACCTGCAGGGAGAAGGGACCCTCAGAGAACGGGGCCTGGGCAGGGAAATGGAATCCAGTCTCACAAAGTGGAGCCTTGGTTTCCTGCATCTCTCAGGGCCCCTGCCCCTCTGGCCTGGGGCAGTTCTGCCAGGCTGACTAGGCGAGATGTGCACATGCGGCCACCAGGGGGCACAGCACACTGAGATCATCTCACCTTCCGCCAAGCTGCTCTGGAGCTCAGGGCAGTTCTGGTCCAGCAGACAGCAAAGAGGCTGAATCTGGAGGGAAACACCCACCCTGGGCCTGAGGTCCCTTGAAAGGGCCTCTTTAGAATGGAGCCTCCTCCCACCACAGAATGGCTTGGCTCCCTGGAACCCTCAGGGTGGTGGGATCAGGACAGCAGTGGAACACACACTGTGTGGCAGGGACACACGCTGACTCGGGAATGACTACCACTGCTCTCCGCTAGCGGGTCTGGTGGGCAGGTCAGGAGACAGAACTAGGACATGCTGTGTAAATCACACATCATCTAGGGAACTTCGGGGTTTTAATAACTAAAAAAATCAGGAAAAAATATCTGAAGGGAAACAAAGAATTTGACATGTGTCGTTTATAGCCCAGGTCTGCAAACAACAGCCCATGGGCCCAGTCTGGCCTGGTGTCTGCCTCTGTAAACACTGGAACACAGCCATGGCTGTCTGCTCAGGGCTGTTTTCACACCACGAGAGTGGGGGAAGTTGTGCCAGAAACAGTATGGCCCCTGACAGAGCACGCTAGTTACAAATACCATTTGTAGCATGAAGAAAGGCCTTGCTATTGAAGACACGAACTGGTACAGACCGCATAGAGCCCACACTGGGATGAGTGTTCCTTCAACTTGGCCAACCACACTCGGGCAGGGACAAGATGCTCAACTCCACACAGCAGGCGCCTCTAGCCACAGTATCCCCAGTGACACTCAGCAAAATGGCCAGGTCTCACTGGGGATTCTCGAGGGCCCTGACAATCTGCACACCACAATCTCGACTCTGCAGGCTGTGTCTAGAATCCATATGTAACTTTTATCCTTACAAACATAGGGATTGCTGTGCAGATGAAGGGGGTTAGACCTGTGCACATCTTACTTTGCAATGTGTTCCTTTCCGCTGGCCTTTGTCCAGTTTTGGCTTTTCCACGTAAAGAGGGTTTCTGAGCAATGTCTGGGCTTTGGGTTCAAACTGTACAGACCAGTCCCACACGGTGAGCAGATTCAAAGGCTTGCTTTGTGTATCCTGGCTTTCCCTACCCTGCCAAAACAAGCACAGGTCACGATGTTTCCAGGGAGGGCTGAGCAAAGCAAATGCAGTTCTGAGAGACGGGCCCCAGGAAGGGCGCTCCCACCCGGCCCCGAGACCCAGGCTTCAGCGGCTGCTCACTAAGGGCTCTTGGTGGGGAAGAGGGAAGGAGGACGCGTTTCCTGGAGGCCGCATGCCAACCGCTGTGCTGAGCCATGGCTGTGTACCAGCGTTTCACAACAGCCCAGGGAGGTCACTCCTATTTCCCTAGTTTACCTTTGGGAAACTGAGGCTCGGGAAACTGATGTGAACCGCTTGAGGTCATGAAGCTGGTGAGCAGCGGGGCTGTGTGACTGGAGGCCTGGGCTGTGTGTGGCCCGCTCCCCTGTAGGATGTGGTCACATCGGCCCTGCAGGGTCAGCTCCAGCGAACCCCGAGCCTGAGGGCGGGTCAGAGTACCGAGACGGCTGGAGAGTCAGAGCCCCGGGAGCAGGGCTACAGGGGTTCCAGAGGGAAAGTAAAAGCCTAGCGCCCCTGCTCTGCCTCGTCCCTGCCCTCTTCAGGCACTCCTGGCAGCAGGCAGGTGGAGGAGAAAGCATCTGACCTCCTCACAAAGACAACTTTTAATATGCTTATTAATTCCCAGCTCTGACACCTGCGCCCAGCTCCAATATTCACCATGTGATTTGGGCGAGTTATTTACTGTCTCAGTGCCTCGGCTTCTCAGGGATAGTAATAATGCAGACCCTCTGGGTGCTTGAGGGGTAAATATCAGTCCCGGGAAAGCACTCAGAAGAGAGCCCAGGATGTAGTCAGTGTCACATAAATGTCATTTTTATCATTGACCTTGCTGCATCCTACTAATGAGACACGGCTTCTTCAACACACAGGTTCCCACGAGGGACTCTTACCACGTTACCATCTTTTTGATGAGGCGAATTGAAGAAGAAGGTGCTAAAGATGGGTATGTACAGGCTGTCTGACAACACGGTCAGGTATGTCTCCGTGAACTCAAAGGCGGGGGGGTGCTGGTGCAGCAGCTGCCAGACGCAGTCTAAGAAGAGCAGGAACACGGGAACCTGCGTGAAAACAAGATTCTCGTTACTGAGTGGGCGCCGGTGGTCTGATGCCAAGGGTCCCGGGCGCAGGGCAGCCATCTCAACAGCCGTGGAATAACCACTTCCGGGCACTATATTCTCTGGAAAATACATTCCAGGAGATTCCCATTCCCAATTCCATCCCACTGCAAGTGATAAACATGCCCAACTGAAGCCACATGCCCACGGACGAATGTCCGGGCTTCGCAGCTCCTACCTGTGGGAGAGACACTCCCGAGATGGAACGTGTAAACCTCACCGTCAGTCAGCACTGACAGGTGGACACTTGCAACAGATCCTGAATCAGGGAGTACTAACTCTGAACCTCCATGAGTGAAATGCTGTTTCTCCCCAAAAGAATTTCACTCTTCTCATCAGTAGCACAGTACAACAAAAAACCTACTCGATTACTTTAAGTTTTGTCAACGCTCCTTCTCCACCTGCTGATGATCGGGGTCCAGAAGGGAAAAAGGATGGGAGAGAAGGCAAAAGCAGTGTCTAACACTTTTTCACAAATGCCTCTTTTATTAGTAACCAGTGGCCTCTTTTATTAGTAACCCAGGGCCAAGCCCTTTATTCGTAGAGATGGGCGTTTTCCAGGGCGCTTGGTCATTCCTGTCAGGGGCAGAGGTCTCACACACAGCTCCTGAGATGGGAGCAGGGAATCCAGCTCCCGAATCCAAGTCCAGTGCTGCGTCAATTATATCACAAACCAGACCACCCAGTTTTCCATTAAAACTCCATCCAGTATGTTGGGGGGCAGGGTAGAGCTCAGTGGTAGAGCATGCCTAGCACACACAAGGTCCTACGTTCAATCCCCAGTACCTCTGTTAGATAGATAAATAAAGCTGATTACCTCCGCCGACCAAAAAACCAAAACCAAAACCAAAACCAAAACAAAAACCTCCAGGATGCAATGCTGAGATGCTGAGAAAGGTCTATGTGGCAACTTTATTTCACACCTCACTGTATGTTCTGTATCATTAGAGTGGGAAATATTTCAACCTCACTGTACGGTCAAGGAAATGGACTCAGAAAGTATGAGGAGACCACCAGACCTGCTCTTGGACTTTTTCCCCATTAGACACGGTGCCTGTCAGCCCCTCTTTTCTCAAGACATATAAACTACACAAGACACAAACACACTTCCCACACAGTAGCAGCAGTCTCTGCCCATTGAGCTATCTAAGTCCCAGCAACCTTTTAAATTAGAGTCTCAGGAAGGCGAGGTCCCTTTCAAGACTGGAGGATGGTGGTTTCCATTCAGTCCGAGGGGACACAGAGAAGTACAGACTAGACCTGAAAGAAACCTTCAGGCCCAGCAAGAGGGGCCCAGGTCTGCCAGGACACCCCGAGCCCTCACGGCAAGGCCAGGGCTCTCTGCTCCCACAGCCCACAGGCAGACACACCGATTAGCTGGAGTCAGGAAAACCAGCGGTCACGCTGCTAGCATGCGCTAGCCCTGCAGGGGATTTAATTAAAGTTCACCTGCTTTCATTTTTCCTTCCACAGTCGTTAATAATGCAGTCAAAGGCATCTGTACAGCTGTAACCTAGACAAGTACACCCCAAACTGGGGGGCTCCTTTTCACTAAGTGAGCTATAACACTAACCCTCCGGGGCTTGAATTAGGAGGCCCAGGTCTGCAGCCACCATGGTGAAGGCCCTGGGAACAGATAACGTTAACATACCCCTGTGCTTTATTTTGAAAGGTTTATTGCAAGGAAAATTACTTTGTGTTACTATGTATTTTCTGTAGGAAATTTGTATTTGAATATGAATATTCATTTTTTTGGGCAAAGACTAATGAACCAGAAATTGTGGGAACCTCTCATTGACTTAATTTTTATGTAAGTTTTACAAATCAGTATTACTTCCACCACGAAATATAATACACTCTTTGGGGGGGTGGCATACAATTTAGAAGTGAAGACTCTGAACACACTTGTTAATAAATATCCCTTTCCCCTGGGAATGGTTTCAATATCGTTTAAAGCATTCAAGGTCATCAAAGACTGAACTGACCTCAGCCTTCCTGACAAGCCCGCAGTGCATGCACTCTGCGGGTGTAACCCTACATCTGAAGACAGGTATGAAATAAGAGACTGGGCTCTGCCTCCCAGGCTGCCCGATCTGCGACGAGGACACTCACCTCCTCCTTGTCACTCTGACGCAGGTGGTTGCAGCGGTCCAGGAAGCAGTGACCACCCATGATCCACTCCTTTTGGACAAGGCTCTGGAAACCGAATCTGGTTCTACAGTGGGGGTCCATCATCACTTGCACCAGAGAGGAAATGAGGCAGCAGAGGTCGGAGGCGTTCTCCTCTGGGGGGCGGGGTGGCGGGCAGGGTGCCCGGTGGCAGGGCAAAGAGGAAGAAGGGCACGGAGTGTTAGAAAGAGGGAGTCCAAGGCCATTTTTGTATCAAGTGTTGCAGTGACTTTAGGCTGGGCCTTCTTAGGTCCAGGGTCATTTTCTTGCCTCCAGCCAAGCTATAGTTTACAGAGACTTCCAGATGTTGACAGATAACACATATTTTGCTTGTACTTAGGTCCTAAAGACTTTCTACAAAACAATCGCAAAAGGATTCTCATGAAAATACAGTTTGTTAGGGGAAATTAGCATGGGAACACAAATTAAAATAAACAACTGAATCTGTTTATTTTATTTTATATAAAAAGCAAACATGTTACTGTTAGAGCTCCTACATTCAACTCAACATTATATGTATCTACAAATTTATGTAAGTAAAGCATTCTAGTAGCATAAATTTTTCTTAGTTTTCTGATAATGAAGACCTGCCTGTAATTGCCTATATGAGGAATGCATATATCCTGTGATGCATTTCATCAGTAAATCTACAGGTAAATAAATTTTCAATTAAAAAAAAAAAAAGCAGCAGAGGGCTCGGCCCAGCGCGGTTAACTGCAGGGTCCCCAACACCAGCGTCTCCCACTGACAGTAAAGTGCTCATCACCTAAAGGCCAGGCCCAGTGGGCAAAAAAGTTGGTGTTTTCAGACTGAGAGACAAACTGCTCCCAGCCTGGCTAGTACTGGTCCTGCACACACCGGCACTAAATACGGATTTGTCACTGATGAATAAACGCAGCAGGGCAGATCCACTGGCAGAGCGGGGAGTCAAGATGTCCCACACGATGAGGGCAGAATTATACGTTGACAGTGACCTGCTGGGCTCCACGGACCAAGTTCAGAACCCTGCCAGCTGGTGTGTCGAGGTCTCTATCACAGAGCTCACTGTTCCCAGGCTCAGCTGCTTCTCAGGCTCCTTCCCTCCACCACCCCTGCTATGGAGAAAGTGTAATATTTCTGGATTGCACCGAAACACTCAGATTCTCAGCTCCACAGCTCTTTCCATTTCTGTCTGAGAGCATGGTGGGGCCCGTGCCCCCTTGCCTGGCCTAGAGGAGAAACTCTCTGTAAGCCACGTGCCCACCCCTGGTGCGCACGGTACAAAACCCACACGATGAAAATTCTACTCACCTCCGTGTTCACCATGCATGACTCGTAGCAAATAAAAACATACGTCTACACCCATGCATTTGTCTTAAGAGTTTTCACATTCTGAAAGTCAGGGTTTGCATCCCTGTGGTTTCCCCTTCGCAAAGAGCAGTGCAACTCACATTGCTATCTTAACCCGTCCATGAGGACAGTGGTGCTGCAGGCAGCGATGAGGTCAGAGAAACTCCAGAATGAATTCTAAGCAGGGAGGTGTCTGCACTGTTCAACTCGCATGCTGACCCCAGGGTCACAAAGCACTGCAGGGCCAGGCTTACACCTGGTCTCCTATTTTTCCTCAAGCCTACACCACGGAACACATGGGTTTAGAAGAAACAGATTTTTATTTTTGTCTTTCCAGGGCTACCGCCTTTCAAAACAAGTTTCATATTTTAAGAGAATCTCCCTTCTTGCACGTGGAGGGTATTAATAATACACCTGCGGGTCCTAGGGAGAGCGGCTAAAAAATGAGATTTCAGAGGAGCCACAAGTCAGTAGTCCATAGAGGAGTGAGTGACAGGTCAGCCTCCCCTGCCAAAGGTTCCCATTTCATTTTGTGCAGCTCTGGGATGGCGCAGTCTGGCCGGTACTTCCACCTCTCAGCCCCGCAGTCTTATCCCTCCTCGTCCTCTCCAGTTACCCAGAACCCTGCTCTGCCACTGCTAGTTAGGTCTTTCTCAATACCGTCTTTAGGCCTGCTCTCTCTGTAGGCTGTAAACTTCTAGAAGGCAGAAGTATAGGGCTCTGTACCTGGGGGGTGCTCTGTGAATGTATTAAAACTCAAGTCAGTGAGCCAGCAGAAGCCACAGGCAGACACGTTTCCAGTCCGCCCACAGAAGCTAAACCTCAGCGTCACAAAGAGTGTCAGGGGAAGGACGAACGCCTGAGGGCATGAAAGCATGAGCCGGCCTACTTAATGGGAAGCGTGGGGCTGTAAGAAACGAAGTATTCAGAACAGCAGACACAACATTTTAGCTCAGACCTAACCAATTCCAGCAGCGACCTTTGTTGAATGTGGTTTACTCTTGCTTTTACACATCCTGAATGCGTACGACCTGTCCTCATGTACAACAAGTTAAGCCCACTGAAGAAAAGGAAATCGTGGCCCACAAGGTTTCCATGGCAACCTCACAAAGTTATCAGACACAAAGATGTAAAAATTAAAGCAACCATGGGCATCTTTATACAAAAAAAAGACTATCCAAAGATTTTAACTTTAACCAAGTTGAGTTAATATAAAACCCCAAAACATTAGGAAATGTGAGCTCTGGTGAAGATACCAAACAATTCCTTCTTGGGCTGTGAGCAGGTCTGCCAAGTTCCAAGTGAAAGAATTTATTTTTAAACTGTAACACTGAAATCCAAACCAAAGGATCCCAAGGTCAGGGTAAAAAGAATGGGAAGGATTTCTACACTAGCTCACTCCTTTTACAAGACAGTTCCAGTTACATAAAGGTCTATATACAGAAACTGAACCTCAAGCAAAGAAAAAAGGAAATGTGCTTAAATATATTTAAGCTTTAAATATATTACCTAAAAGAAGAATGTTCACGTTTTGTGCTTCTAGACATTCTGCAATCTCGATTGCTTTTTTCAGGCAACGTCTAAATAGGAGAGAGACAAGAAAAAAGGATATTAGTTCTTGAGCTGGGTATCATAAACAATAAGAAATTTAGAGGCAGTCTGACTTGATCTTCAGTTTTCTATCTCATTTATTTTTTCATGCTACAATTCTGCAGAAAGAAAACAAATTATCATCTACACTATTCAGATACTGCGAGACACTCATCTGCTTATTAGAAACTTAAATTTTCAGAAAATAGAAAAATTGATGTAAAAATGCTCCTAGGTGATTCCTAAACTAGAAATTCTTATTGCAAATCATACCTGAGTGTGTTGGCGAGTCCTAGTAACACCCATAAACACTCACACCTGAAGGCTGAGCTACACGTCCACTGTGTTTAATTCAAGGTCACCAGCCAAACGTGTTGGCGTGGCTGAAAGGGCCTGATATGCCCAGAACTCCCTTTGTCTCTCTCAGACACACTGTTCCCTTGGAGACTGTTGCCACTGCCAGCAGCTCCGCCCTCCCTACCGGTAACTTGGGGCTTCACACGCTGTTCCCACCTGCAGAGGTGCCCCCACGCCCTCCATCTGCTGAGGGACACCCACCTTCTCTGCCCACCCCACACAGAGAAAGGCCCTTTTGTTTTATAACATTTATCACTACTTGCAATTACATATTCAAATGGCAGGATGTGCAGCAGGTTCTTCAAAACCTGTCTGTTCATACGTGTCTGGAGGGCCGAGGCTCCTTTGCACAAACTCCCGGCAGACCTGAGACAGCGCTGAGCCGGGTGAAAGAGAGGATGCTTCTCTCCCCTCGAGCACGACCCAGGCTTGGAGCCGTTATCTCACCCTCCCTCACCCGATGGTCATTTCTTTTTCATGCCTCCCTCTGCCTCTCTTCTATTTATGGGCAACAGAGCAAAGCTATTCAAAATATGAAGTAGGAAAAGGAATAAAATTCTGTTCTCTTGGAATCTCTACTTAATTTCAAAATGAAAAATGGCTAATTGACATTAATTATAGTAAAAAAAATTTAATAGGCAAGAGACATATGTAATAGGTAAGAGACAGAATTCTTCTAAAAAGGTATTCGGTAAAGACTCTCCCTGTCTCAGTCCCCAGCCTCCTCCCTGGAGGTGGGCCCTGAGGCCTCAGTGAGGAGTCCGGGGTGCGAGGCACCTTCCTTTGTAGTCCTTCAGTCCCCAGTCTGTAGTCTAGGGAGTCGATTTCTGTGGGCAGGTGGCATGTCTGTAAACTGTGATAGAATGTGCACAGCACTGACAAACAATGAATGTAAAATCCAGCTGAGCCCTGAACAGAACATGTGATTTAAGAATATTTACATGTAAAATATAAAACAGTTAAATTAATTGTCAGTTTGCTTTACTAACTTGGATTAGAGAACTGTGAAATTCATGAGCAAAACAATGGCTTGAAATACCTGATAATGTCAAGCCAGCTGCTACTTTCCAGCAGGGAAAACCATTTTATATCTGTGTCCCAAAATTCGGTACTATTATCTGAAAAAAAAAGGAAAGACGGTAAGGAAGTCAGGCGCTGCTTGCTGACACACCTGCTGTAAAATGAGTGCTGCTTGGACTCGCAGCCCCAGACTGAACCGCGAACCCAGCACAAGCCTCCATTTTAAGTGAAGGGCATTCTGCAACTTCAGCTGAAGTGGTTTCTGAACTGTAAACCCCTGGGAGGGAGTGGTAGGCAAAAACAGACTTTAAGTGCTCAAATAAAAAGTGCCCTACAATTCGACCACCAAGCCATGGTCCACTTGTAGCCCAACAAGGAGAGTGACACGCTCAGGCAGACGCAGCCGACATTCCGGCTGCTGCTTCTAGAAGCAGATGCAGCAGGACACAGCCTGACGCCGCAGAGGCCCGAGGGAGAGCCGGCTTCTGCTGGGATCCTACACACACACACACGCACACCCCTCACACACTGGATCCCGATACAGAAGACATGCATTTTACAGAAGTCTGCTGCACGTCAAAGTTGCAAACGCAAATCAGTAAGAAGCAGATCCCCCTGCCAGTCCTGGATGGTGAGAATCGCATCCTCCGTCAACAAGTCCCATCTCACTTCTCTGCCAGGTGCGTGCTTTTTAAGAATCTGGTTCATAACGTGCATCCCCATGTGTTCCACCTAGAAGTGTACACGTGCTTCCCCCCGCCCACCCCCGCGGTGTCACGTTCATCCTATCTCCAACGCCCAGCATGGTCAGTGTGTGTAATGGGAATTCAACAAATGTCAGCTGAATGAATGAATCCTAAATCAGACCACCAGGCTGAAAAGTCAAAGTTAGGAAAAGTTACAAAAAGTGTGACAAATCTCAGAGATAAAGACTCATTCAAGAGTGAAGAGAATCAGCAGGTGACTGGGCTTGATTGAATCTGATCCAGGTTCTCAACGGTTCACACTGGGCACCCTGGGAGGGGAAGTGGCTGTGACTATGATGAGCATATTTCATTTTCTACTTTGTACGTTTCTGCTTAATTCAATTTTTTCACTGTAAAAAATATGCTCAATCAGAAAAAAAGAAGTAAAATATTCTACTTGGTGAGGGGAGTCCATTCAACAAGCCACGAAGGAAAACAGGTGACTCACTTCATAGAATAGCCGGTGAATACAAGCCTTACACAGTCTACAACTTCCCGAGGGAGAAGCCCAGCGCTCACCACTGGGCAACCAGGGTGTTGGGAAAGGAAGAGAAGAGGAGGGTGGCTCTGTGTTCACTGCCTCGAGAGGGGACAGTGCGCCAAGGGCCTGTAGAAAAACGGTGGCAGAAGTGTGGTGACGGCAGCTGGACCCCCCGGCCACCAGCCCCTCCACAGGGTGACACTGGCCCTCACGGCCGTGAACCACTGCGTCCTACCACAAGGAACCCAGGGAAAAGACACCAGCTGTCATCTGACCCATGTGGCATGTCTTTCCCCATGTGGCAGCATCCTTCTCACCTATCAGAAACAGCTGTTTAAATTTGGAGTATGCGGTCTGGATTTCCTGCAGGGATAGGAAGTTGCTTGACAGATCCTCGGTTTTAACAATTTCATACGGTGGCCTGTGGATGGTCTTGTAAATTCTAGGTATCAAAGAGTAACAAGAGATTAGAAGGGCAGGGAGGAGTCAGAAATAGCCCCTTGTGCCAGGATCTGCATG